TTATCTATCCAGAGAAACTTTTCTTCTTGCTGAATACATCTACTTTGAAAACCCTGAATTAGCCAATTATTAAAGAAATAAAATGTTAAATTACCAATCAAGCACCCCAAAATATAATAATTAAATTGAGCATCTCAAATGTAAAATAAATGTCAAAGTATATCCCCAATGGGTATATCTATTTATAAATTAACACATATACCACTTTACTTGTATTTAAACCATATACAAGACACATTTATAAAGAACTCAATAAAAATAATGAAAGTAGAAGTTCTAATGCATTCTTTCTATAACCTAGTACATTGCCAAGCCTTGTACACTCTACTTTGGAGACACCAGTCCAATTAACAAAAAGAATTAATTGCATAAGGTAGCAACTAGCCCAAACTTGCAACTGGCATGGCTATTTTCTTTGTAAATCCACAATTTTCAGTTATCTATTAAATCTATTATTGTGAAAAAAATCAATGGGTCTGTCTGATTTAAAGTAGGTAACACCCAATTAACTCAACAACTATATTTACAAATAGTATAAATGAGAATCATAGATATCATTTTTAGATTTGACTATGTCCCAGGAATCCAATGAAGAAAGCAAAAAACAAAAACAGAAGCCTAAAAAACTCACCTTTGTGTTATTGAGTAATTGATTTATCTTAGCTTTCAAAGTAGATAAAATCAACACTTCTAAAGACTTGTCTTTAACCCAGGATTTCTTTTATTAAAGTGTACAATCTCGAGTGCATGCCTGAAGGATAACAGTTTGTTCCTAATAAAAAAGAGCCTGGATTCCACTATATGTCTTTGCCAGAGGCATCATTCCCTGAAGCACACAGCTAACTGCATCTCCTGCTGTACCTGTAACAATTTAATTGTATAAGTCAGCCTAGTCAAGCATCTCCAACTCATGACTAGGAGACATGAAATTCATTGTCATTACTGTCCCTGTCATTTTGGATCATTATATCCCGCTGCAGAATTTTCCTCACTTCAGTGCATTTTTACCTCCAGGAGCCTGGGATTATAGCTGAGGTTGGGGTGGGGGCAGGACTGTGAACTACATTTACCTCGGGGGAGCCAGAGATTAAATTGACTTTGCTCTCTCATGAGCTGAATTCATCTATTTGTATGGTATGAGTTTTAGATTGGAATAAAAATGAATATTCTAGTGAATGCTGGGCTTACTTCCCCCTTTGAAACATGAATTTGAAACATTTATTTACATTAGAAAGCCAATGTAATTTCTCATAGGTCGCTATTTTCATATGTGCATAAGAAATACAGGCAAATTGGGTACGAAGTAACAGGCATTTCTCTCTTCAATGTCTTAACTGGCAGAAAGAATTTAAAGCTATAATTTTGTTCTCCACCTTCATTTTATAGAGGCTTAATGGGGATATTTAATGGTTTTAAATATTTAATGATTTTTAATTATATATCACTTTCTGTGCACTGGATTGATGACTGAAATCTAACTAAAATGGCACCAGAGATCCACTGTAAGAACTGGCATATTGAAGTAGAGTTGGTAGAAGACCACAAAACCAGCTCCTAAAGAAACTAGCTACCCCAACCCCATGTAAGCTAATTCACATAATCTCACAGCCTATCAAGTCACCCAAGCATAAGCATGTCTTAAACACTTCCTGCCAACTTGGAGAGCACATCTGCCCTCTCTACTTGGAATTACCCTCACATCAGTGGTACTGGCCATAGTTAGGTGGGTCTGCACAACAAAGGGGCAAAGAACCAGACAGAAAACACCAGGACATGGACCAGTTAGAAGGCTGGTGAGTTTGAATGTGTCTTCTCTAATATAAAAAAATACAACTGAAAGAAAAACCTGGCGTGTCACTTCATAACTTGCATTTCATATACATTCTACTGAGAAAATTAACTTGATTCTGTATTTTAAAAGATGGCAGTTATTTCTCCATATGTGTCAGCTTGTTTTATACCAGTTAATAATAAAGTGTGGCAATTGATCAAACTTCTCCCAAAAGAAGAATAGCCACTATAATTACTATGCCAAAAAGTATGGACAGTTTATTCTATTATCTTTATGAATTTTTGTGGGGAAATAGTTTGCCTTAATCAAATGCAACAGTAATCGGAATTTATTTAAGATGAACATGTGCTTTGGAGTAATTAAGAAAAACCTTTTGATAATTATACATTTTGTACTTCAAAGAGAACATCTTACAGCCCTAATATCTCTATGTTGAAGGGAGCTTAAATTGTTGTCTAAACACCTGGACCAAGTTCATGGCGATGTTTACTGCTCTGTCTCACTATATTTTTACACCATTATATTTCACTCTTCACTGGAGCCAAAGTAATACTGTATAATAATTACTAATAAGAGTTAGTAAACTTCAGTTAGCAAAACTTCTGGTAGTATTTAAAAGCTCATTTGATTACTTATACAGAAATTTTAATCAGAATCAAGTTCTCCCTAGGTGGGAATTATAAAAATTATTATTTCTGCTCATTTTATGATGGGTAGTGGTTTTGTGAACTTAAGTATTTTTGAAAGTTAATTCAAGTACCTGAATTCATTGTTAAACCATTTGGTTAACTGTTACTCATTCTCCTAGTGGTTAAGAGTAGTACATTTTTTTCTTATTAAGCAAGGTTTATTTCATAAATTACAATGTTTACACATGGGTTTACAATAGTTAATGAAGTTTAGGTAATTTTTCTCTCTGAACTACTTTGAAATATATTTCTGGTCTAGAGAAAGACATTTTCCTTTTTCCAAGCTCGTGTTACCTGCATTTAATTCCTTTACCTATATGTTCTTTCCCACCTTATTTCTATGCTGGTTTTTAATTTGCTCATCACAGCACACTACATAAAACATGAGTTGCCTCAATCTGTAAATATAATGGTGAAACCAGAGAACCATACTGTTTCATACTATTGTTTTGCCTCACCCCAAGCATGACTTAGTAAGGCCTGTACTACTTCAGAACAATGTGAAAAAGCAAATAACTTATGGCAATTGACCAGAACAGAATTATTTTTCTCCTTCAGTTTAAGACAAGATTTTACCACCAATTTCCAAACAGCAATCTGAAATTTTTTTACATAATCTTCATTAAACATAATTTTACAACCTTTAACTAGCTATAAAAGTAAATTCTATATTTTAAAAATTCTTCATTCTCTTAATTTTACTACAATATTTCCTCTGCATTGAAAAACAAATTTCCCTTGGTTTATGTAGAATCAAAAAGAATCTGTAATTTATAACAATACTAAGCACAAGACATTCACAAATTGAGATATGATACTCACTAATATTCTTCATTAGGCAAGTCTTTATGCAAAAGTTAATAAATAAAATTATATGCCCAATATATTAAATGATATAAAAATGAGTAAGCATTTGAAGAGTACTGCATGTGCAGGAAGGATGAGTAAAAAGAGGCAAAGGCCACAAACATTTCCCTGTTGGGATGGGCAGGACACTATTTACAGAATGCCTTCTTACTTCTCTTGGACCAAAAGTCTCTCTACTATAATCACCCAATGAGCTACACTGGATTAACATTAGAGGTCTGAGGTAGAAAAGCAAATTCACAGTAAAGGTTGTCCTTTAACATGCAGGCTCAATCAAGGACACCAAAAAAAGTACTTAAGTGGCCCCCCTGTGGTGTTTAGATGCTGGAAGGCACTACAAACTGTTAATTTTCTAGCTTTTACTGTTTGTCTAAAACGCTTAACATTTTTCTAATATTGTTGCTCCTAAGACATTTGCTACAGTTTGGTCCCCATTGCCCCTTTTGCGCATATACGCTTTGCATTTATGTATGAAAGCCTGGCTGACAAACAGCTGAACTGACTCAGAAATGTAATACTGGAAAGAAAAACAGGTAAGGGGAGCCGTGAGGACATCCCATAATATGAAGTATAAACATCAAAGTCTCCTCAAACAACAAAATTCTTCATGCTAAGAATGTTGGTGAACCTATGGCACATGTGCCACAGCTGGCTATTTATTTTGATTGAAAGCTCTTAAAGATACATCATCTCTGTGTTAAGACGTTAGTTATCCAACACCAAATACAAAAGACCACATAATGGGGTGGGGGTGAGATACAGAGCCTAAGATGTCATTTGTCACAAAATTTCTAAGACCTTCTGAACAGATACAATTGCTTGTCTCTAGTCATTTCCTTACAAATGGCTATCTGTGGATTCTTAGTAAAATTCTACAAATGACTTTACCTGTTTCACTTTGCATTGTTTTGTGATCTACCTGGAGATACATTAAGTGTTTACTTCCTCCTAATGAAAGTGAACAAAATTATATTACATACAAAAAAGAATTCACCTTGAACACAAGGTAAAAGGACGCTGGGTAATGTCATTGTTGGAAAATATCTAACAGCAATAACATAAGCAATAAAACCTGAGGGTTTGGTTTAACAATGCTGTTCATCACATAAATTAAACGTTCAAGAATGTGTCCTATGCAAAATACAAACATGTCAATTATTGCCCAAGGGGCATTTTTCCCTAGGTTTATAACCCCTTGAAAATAGAGGTTTCGTCTACAGAACCTAACAGATCCTCAGCTGCTCTCACCATTGTAATACATTCATAAGGCAAGTATTCACTGGAAAAATAAAACAAATTAAATGGCAAATGGGTGGGGCCCAAATTCATAACAATGAGACATAATCCAAACCAACCATGGGACCTAAGTAGAAATCAAAGAAGAAAAAGAATATGTAAAACAATATTAGAAACGAAACATTATGGGTAGTTTTTCAGCCAGTACTAGAAACTGCGTGTCTGTCTGTCTGTGCGTGTGCGTGTGCGTGTGTGTGTGTGTGTGTGTGTGTGTGTGTGTCTGCGCGCGAACGCATGTTTTTTGTAAGATTAGCATTAAAATTAAAAATGCAACACTATTTCATTAAAAACATAATGGTCATAGTATATTCTAAGGTGTTATAGAGAGAAAATAACGTGTGAAAAGCATCACATACCATCATAGTAGACAATTGCTCCTACCAGTCTGTCCTTTTGGAGCATGGGGAAATGTTCAAGAGCTCTCGATTTGCTGAGGACATAACTGCTCTTCAGGCAATTACTTCCGGCAACCAGATCATACAGCTTAATTCCTACCCAGTAGTAAGGTAGCTGCCACCACCTACAGCATAAATAGGGGAAAGTTCTTTAGAAACAGAGTATAATGTTCCAGAATGATATCATAAATGACAAGAAACTTTTCATATGGAAAACAAAATATACCTAGAAGAGGACTGCAAAAGAAACAGCTTTGCATAACTGTTGTGATACCAATCTAGTAAAGTACATAAGTAAATTAATCAGTGAGATTTTCAATGAATTTTCTCTAAGGCTCTCACCTTGGATGCATATTAGAATTCTTGGGGGAACATTAAAAATAAGCACTGATGCCTGGACCTCACATGTCCAGAGACTGATTTACCCAGATAGGATGAGGGCCTGGGGTTTTGTAATGTGCACCCAGAGCTGAGAATCCCTGATTTAAGAGATCCTAAGCAATCTGTGGCAAAATAGGGACAAAATTATAGAATTTGTTTCAAATCACCACAATACTCATGTGGCTAAGTGTTACAAAATCCACTTCACATTATTGTACCTGTATTCCAACCTCATGGGTAGCTTTAGCTACATTAGGAACCTACGTTTTATAATCTGGCATCTAGTTAAATTTCAGTTTTAGTCAACTTGGATACTTAAAATGACCCCAAAACTTTGGGTTTTTAGTTGATATGTTGCAGGTTCAAATTTCACAGTGGGATTCTTTTTTAGGTTTCTACATTTCTAACCCTTCTATTCCTCAGTACAAACGCAGCTGTTCATCTTATATACACTGAGAAACTAGAATAAGGTATCAGTAATTATAAATACAGAACATAATCTCCTTCGCCTTCAAGATCTGGTACTTAGAGATAGGTCCTAAGAGAGTATTTAAGAAAATCCTCACTTTTAAATACACCAATGGAAATGTTTGAAAGGGATTAAAGATTAGGGCTAATTAAAACCACGTTAAGAAATACACATTGAGGAATTATTTCTATTAAAACTGTATTTTCCATTGACCTTAGGCAATCAAATAGTAGAAAAGTGATATCAAAGGCTTACTTGTAAACTGGAAGCATTATAGGCAGTGGGGCTGATAAATGGGGAGCAATTTCTAACAGGTTGGCACGCTCATGAAGGGCTTCTTTTACCATCCTATACTGAAAATCAAAACAGAGAAAATTAGTTTGGCAGTAACATATCATAATATTTTCAAATGGCAAATAGACACCCTGCCAACTGATTGATACACAGAAACCTTCTACCTCTGAGTGACGATAGCTCCCTCCTAATCAAATTTCTAATAATACATCATGCTGTCAACCTCAAAGATTTTTTAGAAACCGTAACTGTATTTGCATAGGAGAAAAACATGCTGTCAGAGTTCCCAGGTGTAAGATATTTTCCTGACTTGAATTCCAAGATTATTATAACCATTTATCTTGCATTCTCTGTAATGCTCCCCTTTCTCAATTCCTCATAATATTTTCTTCAGGTAAGAAATACAGATTGCTCAAATTCATGCTAAAAGTTTCTTTCTTGCCTTCACTAAACTCAGAAAAGATGATGTGTAGCAGTTGCATAATATTTTAGATTATAAAAAAAAGCTTTTGTCTTAACCCCTGTGATCCTTTCTGATTAAGGAACTTGTGGTATTATTATTATTATTATTATTATTATTATTATACTAATTGTATAAATGAGATGACTAAGGTTCATAGATATTGAGGACAGGGGTATGGGGAAAAAATAAGAACAGAGACATATCGTGTAAAGGTACAAGATCCCAAAGATAAATGTAACTATACTGTTTGCTTTAAATGTACAAATAAACTTAATGGGAAAAAAATAAATTCTATGTATGCTGTTTCCTTTGCATCCATCATGATGCCAAAGAGAGACATAAGGGAACAGATTCAAAACAGACTTGTCAAGAAAAAAGGGGAGACAGATTCAAAACTTGACAATGTCAAGTCGGTGCTGCTATGCTTTTCATGTACAAAAAGCAGATAGGGAGTGCAGCTGATCTCTTTACCCCTCTGGGAAATGTAATCTTCCACACTGCCTTGGCAGTTTTCAAATGGTGGCAGACTGGACACAATAAAGTGTGACATAGGAAAAGCATGACTCAGATCATCTTTTCCTCAACAATATGTCAGTGACAATATGAGGATACGATTGTAGTCATAGTTGAGAGGATCAATTTGGCATTCCCCCTGCACTGCAACACAGCTCCCCTGGAACCGCAGTGAAGCAGCAATTTGGTGGCCACTGGCAAAAACCCAATCACAACTGTTAAAGGGTAGCACATCCAAAAGCCATTTTGTAAATCTGCTACTCTGACATGCCTGTGTAGAGAAAGCCCCCGATTACCCATAAACATAATACTACAGGAAAGAACTGACACACCTCTCCTGAAAGATATTCCAGCAGCACACACAAAATAAGTATTTCCAAGAGGAAGAAATGTTAAAAGCCATTTTTAAACAGCCTGATTTAATTGGGTAGAAAAAGCATAGTTGCAATTTTTGTTTAACAACCAGCATACACAATTACCTGCTCAATATCCAACTTCATGATGGCCTTCTGAAGATATCTCACACCACCATGGATCAATTTAGTGCTTCTGCTGCTGGTCCCTGATGAGAAATCATCTCTTTCTACAAGGGCTGTTTTTAGTCCTGTGTAACCAGAAAACCAAATTAACTTCTTAAATTACACAATTTGTATGTAATTCATTAAAGGCACTTCTCCAGGGTAGAGACAATCACAAGAAAAATTAGTCTGAACATAGATAAATTTGTATTCAAAGTGCAGCACACTGTCTATATTATAATGAAGAGATTTTAGACTTCCTGGGGGAAAAGTCAAGCCAGAACTAGAAGCATATTAAACTGTGAATGAATCACAGCTAGAAAATATTGCAGTACAATTTCATAGCAATAACATACTTTCGTGTATTTAGGGGATCAAAAGAGAGGCTGCCACCCATCTTTCCCATGAAGAGTTCACTGAGTATCTTCATGAAGCCTTCTGGAATACACATTCATCTCTCCCTACAGGAGTCCAGTCCTATTCCAGTTCCTCATCTTTGGCCTGCTCTCATGCATTTCTGGTAAGTCTAGATTAGACCCCCTTTTATACCAACTTGTATTTGGAAATGTGTCTGGGGTGGTGTTTACAGTGGGTACAGAATGGGGAAGATATCCAAGATATCACAATAAAATGAAAAAAAGAATGACTCTAAGAAGTTTGTAGGTTAATTTAAAACATTTGAACATATGACAGAACTTTAGAAATCATAAGGAAATATAAATGCCAATACAAATCAATACAATGCAGAGTATGCATGGGAAAGGAAACAAAATATCCTGTAATAATTCAGGCTGTGCCAAGACAGGTCAATTCTACAAGTCACCCTATCCTTCTACCCTGTAATTTGCAGGCTGCTATAAATCTCTTGAGGAGAAAACTAGTTCTGTTTTGTTGTTTTCCTGCAGACATTCCCCCACTTCATTAGGACTGGATGTGACCATCACTACTACAAATGTTATACATTGGTTGAAAAACCAGCCAAAACCTCACAATGTCTACAGTACACATCAACACAAAACCAAGAGGAACTTCCAAGACTAACATATTTTGGGGGTATGAAAGAATACCATGGAGCCAGGCATGGTGGTGCATGTTTGTAATCCCAGCACTCTGAAGGCTGAAGCAGGAGGATCGCCAGTGAGTTCAAGGCCAGCCTGAGCTACATAGTGAGATCTTCTTGTCTCAAAAAAAAGAAAAGAAAAAAAGAATACCATGGAAGCCAATTACAAAGAGAATATGCAATTGGTGAAGTTTAGGCTCATAAAGCTCAAAAAGAAGAACTTGTGCATGTATTCAACTCAGAGCCACTTATTACATGTAACATAAAAGGGTCTTTTCTACAAAGGGTCTTTCAACAGTTTAAATATCACACCCAAATGTCATCATAAAATCAGGGCAATTTCCTTGATTTAAAGGGACAAAATATTTGGAAGCTATGGAAAGTAGAACATTTTGATTCAAGGTCAAAAATTGCTAATGCCCTAACTAGTAAAACAGTACAGAAATTACAGATATCACAGACCCAGCCCACTCTTCTAAAGCAAGTATGCCAGAGAAAGTTCTGTAACATTCTCTATTTAAACATTAGAAATCCTTAGTAAACTTAGTATTAGATACATTAAAGATTCAGAAAAAGATACCTAATTGGTACAAAAAAAGAATACTGAGAGTGAAAGTGCTGATGTTTGTGATGAATTGGACCCAGACCAGGCTGTCATGTAGCTACCAACTCAAAAGAGGCAAATAAAGTGTAATAGGGGCTTTACAGGGGGCACATTTGAGACTATAGAGGACTTTCATCTTCCTCTAGAAGTTGATTTGTTTTTTTGTTGTTTGGTGCTGGGGATCAAACTCAGGACCTTGTGCTTGAGAGGCAGGTGGCATCTCTAGAAGTTGAATTCAAGACATAAACCCCAAGTTTCACAAAGTCCAAATTACATCTGCAAATCTCTTAAGAATGTACTGTTTCAGTGAGCTATATCACCTTAGTAAGTCCAACACAGAGTGCTTCATTCAGCTCTAAAATAGATCATTTTTTTCTTGAGTTGAAGATCAGACGAGGGAGTTGACTTTCAAATGGCATTTGGAGCCAGATTATTTAAAATATACCTCTACTCTTTAAAGCCTGAAATCACAGTAACAGCATCAAGACGCCTATACCAGAAAAGGCAGAAAAATGAGACTGAGAGGACTTGCAATGTCCCATCCAACCATGGCTTCCTCACCTGGGCCTGCTCTAGTGTGTCCCTTGAGCTGTAGTGCACAGGACTCTCAGAAAGTCCCCAGCAATCCCCACTTCCCCACTGAGCTTGGACCTGGGCTGAACCCAGTGCCTTTCTTCTAAGAGGTAGAACACACCAACACTGAGGGTGTGTCATTTGTGTGATGTAGTTACAAAAGACATCTTGTGAGTCTGGAACCAGAGGCAGCCTAGACACCAAGCCATGAGGAACCCAAGCCTCAGTCCAACAACCCAAGAAAACAGTCCTGATACGCCAGGAACCACTAGGAAGTGGCACAACCTGTGAGGGACTTGACGACCTCGAACCCAGCTGAGTTCTCTCAGATCCCTGATCCACCAAAATGAAGTGAAGCTGTCATCATTTAAAGCCACTAAATTCAAAGAATAGTTTACTGGTGACAATATTACCTATGTTAAGGAATAACAGCAGCCAAGTTCGAAGTTTCCAGCTGTCCCTGGGAAGGGGCTCTTCAGAATAGGCTGAATGTATAGAGGGGTGATCATGATCATCATAACAGTTGGCATGGATGAGGCAGGTATCAATGGCCAACATCAGTTTAAGAAGAGGGAAATGCTTGAAGCGGCCCAGAAAACTCAGGGGCTGCTTCTTACTCAGGCCCTGAGAGTAGCGTAGATCAGAACAACATGAAGGAGATCCCAGGAGAAGAACTGACAGATCAGACTGCAAGGTGCTTCCCAACCAGGACAGGGCTTAGTATACTGTCCTGGACGTCCCTGTTTCCCACAAGTAATCTCTGGGTCACTTCAAAAGGAAAACATCTCTGAGAATATGGCTATAGGTCCTGAATTAGTTTTAGAAACAACTCATTTGAAAGAACAAGAATTGACATAATGACACTGAAGCTTGAAAATGAGCACTGTACTCAGTTACAGGGGAACCATTCCTAGGAACAAGAGTGTGCTTGTTATTTTTTTTTTTCTATAAAAATAATCTAGGGAGACAGGGATTTAGCTCAGTGGTGCCATGCCTGCCGGGCAAGCACAAAGTCATGAGTTTGTATCACAAAACAAAAATAACAAAAAAAGAATAAAACAATCTAAAATTTTTTTTCAAAAATTCTAAGATACTGTCTGGGAAATGCTATTACACCACTTTCCAGGGAGACCATTAAAATGTTTTATGCTGAGAAATCTGATTAATGTTCCAGAAAGATTTCTCTCACTGAGGCAGGCAGGGTGGTAATGGAGAAGGCCCGTACAAATGAGCACAGCAGTGAAGAATCTAGCCTTCCAAGGCAGAAGATGGACCTGGAGAGTGAGATGAAGACAGAATTCCATGGGCTGTGCTGTGAGGCTGAATTTTTTTTATTTTTTACCAAACTAACTCTGTGAGGCATAGAACTACTCTAAGAATTAGACAACCATCTTAGGGGGATATTTCAGGATATTTAAGTGAGACAACACTTTCAAATTCTCAAACTGATTTTTCCAATCCGAACATTTTAAGTTATTCACATGTATTTCTGTGAGAAACTCTAGAAAATACCAAAAAAAGTTAAACTACGTTCCTCCTCAGTTAATCCAGGCTCACTGTATTGTTGTTTTGCCAGATTATTTCCAGTGTCAAATCATCAAGCTTCCCAACCGGGCTTTCTCAAATGAGATTATTCCTTCCAGAACAAAAATGGAAATTCATCTTCCAAAATTATAGCCAAATTGATATATTAAGCACCATGTAAGCTAAAAGCATTATTAGAAGATTTTTGTTTGGTTTTGTATGCAGTCCCAGAGATTGAGCCCAGGGCTCACATGTGCTAGGCAAGTGCTGTAGTACTGAGCTACACGCCCAGCTTTTTATCTTGAGATAGGGCCTGAGTTTCTTTTAGGTTGGCTTTGTACTTAGATCCTCTTGCCTCAACCTCCAGAGTAGCTGGGATTAAAGGTATCATACCCAGTTTGAACCTTAACATTTGAGAGTGGCAATATTGTTTTATTTTTCATTTTTGATTGAGTACATTCAGCAGGTAGTCTCAGGAATGTCTCAGTGATGAAATATTAGTATCTAGAGCAAAATTACTCTCAATGCTAGGCAGAGTAACAAAATTAGTTATGTTAGAAGAATAAAATCAAATTTGAAGTCTACCTTTCATTCATCTTCATTCCATCTTTTAACAAGCTGAAATTGTATATTCCAGGTAGAGTGAAGGGTCTGCACTGAACACAGCTTGTCTTTTCAGACCTCGGTGAGGTTGTCTAGCTACTTCCAACTAAACCAATTTGTGGATCAAGACAGTTGGATGAATATAGAGGGGTAATTACAATCTAAGGGGAGAAATGGTACGACATTTAACTTTCACAACATGAAATAGAACAGAAGTATATTTTAATACCTTTTACTGATTATCTTATTATGCATGAAAACATGCTCAATATAATAAATGCAGAGAAGCAAAGAGAACAAAATAAAACTCTCCTGTAATTACACCACTCAGAGATAACCACAGTTGACATTTGGCTGTATAAACGTTCACATTTTCTATGCATGTATATAATCACATATGTACACTTTTACAAAAATAGGATGATATGGTATATTTAAGGAGCTTAATTCAACACTGTTTACTGTAAACATTTCTCCACATCAATATCTTTTTCTATGATTTCATTTTTAAAGCATGGACAGTGCTCACTTCGGCAGCACATATACTAAAGCATCGACAGTATTACATTAACTGTTTATAATGGTGTGTTTATTTGATTTCTTACTTTGGACCATTTGGGTTATTTTTTCACTATTACAGATAGTACTGAAGATTATATTTTCATTTCAACTTTCCTATATCATTGTTTCATTACAATAAAATTTTAGAAATGTGATTATTA